TGCCCTTATACAAGCCGCCATTTTACTCGACGGGTGTCGACTGCTTCGGACCATTTCAGGTCAAGATAGGACGACGCTCAGAGAAGAGATGGGGCATCATTTATAAGTGCCTTACCACCCGGGCGTTGCATCTAGACCTCATGCACAATATGGACGTGGACTCCTTCCTGATGAGTCTCAGGCGGTTCATCGCTCGCAGAGGGACCCCAACTGAGCTCTATTCAGACCAGGGTATGAACTTTAAAGCAGGGGAGAAGGAGCCCCGTGAGTCTTTTAACAACATGTCCTCCGATCTCCAACGCCTTCTTGCCAAGCAGAAGATTGACTTCCGCTTCAGCCCCCCTGCAGCTCCTCACTTCGGGGGCACCTGGGAGAGGGAGATCAAGTCTGTCAAGACTGCACTGTATACTGTCATAGGAGTTGAACCGGTCTCCGAGGAGGTCTTGCATACAGCCTTATTAGAGGTCGAGGCTATACTGAATGCTAAACCCCTCTCGGTTATACTTCGTCCAGTGTTGCGGACTTGTATGCAGTGACACCAAATGTCCTCTTGATGGGACGGCTGGATAGAGCACTACCTCCAGTTGTCTACCCTAAGTGTGAGGGACTAAGCAAGCGGAGATGGCGACACTGCCAAGTCATTGCTGATCACTTCTGGGCAAGATTTATCAGTGTTACCTTCCAACTCTACAATGCAAACAAAAGTGGCATGGTACCCCAACTGATCTGTCAGTGGATTCAGTAGTGCTGGTGGTAGACCCGCAGTTTCCCTGGGCGCTCTGGCCAGTTGGTAGGGTGATCAGAGTGCGTCAGAGTGCAGATGGTCATGTGAGATCTGCAGACATCCAAGTCAAGGACAAAGTTTACACCCGGCCAGTTGCCTGACTTATCACTCTTCCAATGATTTCAGATTCAGAGGAGAATGAGAAAGGCCCTCCAGTGACTGAGGTGTGAGCCTTTTACAAGTGCAAATTGCATGCAAAAATTGGATAATTAAACACAATAATAGTCTGTGAAAGAGGATATTGTTAAATATATTAAACAATAAATGTTTTGTTTTCATGGAATATTACAAAATAAATAGATACATTTATTTATTGATTTATTTATTGACACATTTATTTAATAAATTATTAATTACATTATTTAATTATTATTATTATTATTACTTAATTATTTCAGAATAAACTTACATTTAATTGTTGTTTTATTTATCAAGAAATAAAATAATTTAAATCAGAATAGAAGTGTGTTAATTAATTTTGTTAATGCAACAGACCATTAACACTAATCAGCTCTTTGTATAGCACAGCAGGATGAAGGTGAAAGTGATCTTCCCAGGCAAGATCAAAGTGTGCTTCAGGAAAGGACCAACTGGATATCTGAGACAAGATCCCTCAGATGAAGCCAAGAGGATCAAAGACAATCCCAATCTCCAGGACAAATCAGCCCCTCTAAGGGAAGACAAGGTCGAGGAGAAAGCCCGCTCTGTTGTCTTCATGAGAGGAGGAGATGTGTCAGACACACAGGAGGTGCTGGGAGAGTATGTGCTTCAGTTTGGAAAGTACAAAGGCAAGTCATTCCGGTGGCTACTAGAGAATGATGTAGGCTATACCATGTTCTTGACTAAGAAGGTTGAGGAGAAGGAGAGAGCCGGACAGTTTAAACCAGAGGGTCCAAAGAAGGACAGCCTAGTTTCATTTCTTGAGTACAGTAGAAGCTTCCAGGAAATCGAGGACCTCATAAAGTATGTAGCTGGAAGATCAGTGGCACCACCTGTAAGAAATGAAGATGACAACTTGGTTGGCTTTGGGATTAATGCAGACTAGACTTGGAGGGATATTTGGGAGAGCAGAGCAGATGGATATGCTGCATTCATCCACCAGAAACAGTGTGTTCCAGGCAGCAAAATGTATCGGCTGCAGCAGTACCTCACTCAGAAGAGCCTAAGTGAACTTCACTGGGGTGCTGAAAAGACATGCACGCATTATACCTTCGCCCAGGCCGTTGGATTCCGTCGTTGGGCCGAGGGGTTGTGATCCTTACACATTTTTATTCAGCGTTAAGATGGCCAAAGGTCCTACTCTGACTGCACATTGGGGATGATTCTGACATCAATCGGGATTATCCATCCAACACACTGACAAATCACTGTTTGTTTATTATGCGTGATCAGGCATGTTCTAATGCCCGTAAATTGTTATATTAACAGTAAAGGCTTTTATATGTCATTCTGTCTGTTTATGTTATAAATGCTTGAAAGTAAAATTATCGTCACTATGCTTTCAGGTTCAGAAGTTGTCGGAGTCCCAGTGGTCAAAGGTCTTATTCCTACTGCATACTAGGGATGATTCTGACATGAATCAGGATTATCTGTTCTACATTGATTTGTTGCTGTTTGTTGGTTAGGCCACGTTCAGGCCTGTTCTAATTCTTGTGTTCAATTGTTCTACTAACATTGAAGGCATTTATATCTCATCATTGACGGTAAGTACAGAGTTCTTGTTTTGCATGTTTTTTCCATGCTATACTTTAAAGGTTTGGTATGTACATGATTTACAGAGTAAAAGATGTAAATCTCCAAAATGCAGAAGTACAGCAAAATAACAAATATGTATTAATTTGGACTAGAATGATGCATCCCATTTGATACATGAAGCTGTAGATTACTCATGTAATGGAGACCCATTAGCATACCACACCCCTAATATTATAAAGAGTCTTGACATGTGTTCTATGGGTTTGCATGCATTTACATTACTATTTATTAACACATTTACTAAGGGACAGTACTACAGGGTATTAGAATGACATTACATTTTTCTGTGTTAGGGAGGCGTAAACCACCAGCAACACTCTCAAAACCAGACCGGCCTGATGAATATAGTGCTACTGCATCTCCACGGCCAGGTTGGTATATGGACGTGTACACATGCCGACTCTACTGTAAGAATATGCCTGTTCCTGATCAGTGTTATTGTTTTTCACCAATTCCATTCACTCCAGTGAGGGTTCCTTTGCCAGTACCTCCAGAGTTGCTTGAATTATCTACAAGCAAGACCACATCGCCTTTGAGACCAGTGCAGGAAACCGTGTTCTGTCTGTGTAAGGACTTAATGTAACATCATTTTACTTAATCTAATTTAAAACAGATTTAACATATTTAACAAATGTAATGCTCATCTATGACTAATGTCACCCATGTCATCCTGCAGCCCTCCTCCCAGTGACCTCTGCACAGTCTACAGCCTCTACTCCTCCCTCAGGACCCCCCGCAGTTGCTGGCCAGTCTTTCTCTGGATTCCCTGCAGCCACTACTGGGTACCCCTCAACTCAGTTGGAGGAGAAGCATGCTGTTCCACCAATGCCAAGCTATGAGCAGGATGTGATAAGATGGCACTGCTCTCAACAGCAGAGAATCTGGATGAAAACAGAAATGGAAGCCTTGGGACTGTGGCCAGGTTCTAGACCGGTGAGACATCCAATGAACATGATCTCTTTGTGGCGTTACCCACCTCAGCCTGAGCTTATTGATGCTGTCTATGAGCTGCCATCACCGAAATACTTTCAACTTCATCCATTCTTCATTTGGAAACCAGAGCACACCATTATGGAAAGAGTCCGCAACAACTACACTCTGCCATGTCTGTACGGCTGTCCGAATCCCCACGTTGTCTCATCAGGAGTTGGACGACCCCGTGTCATTATTGGTACAAGCAGCCAGTACTACATACTGGCCTCTCGGCTCAGCTGTAAAGGCTGTAAAAAGTACTGGTTTGCAGACAAACCCCAATGGATGGACATGCTGTCGAGTCGGTTCTCAGTCATTCTGAGACACAGCAAAGTCTCCCAATGATATGGCCAATCAGTTGAATGAAGCTCTCCACCTCAAGTATGAGCGTGCACACCTGGCTTACCTGTCCACTGTTAAGAATGTGCTGGATGGAGACGGTGGTCTTTATGGTCAGCAGACCATCACAGGGGCACTAAGAGCAACAAATACTCCTGCTCCATTTGGTGAGTATGGTGATGTTGTTGGCTGTTGCGGAGTAACAGTCTCGCCCCACTATTTGGTTGACTGCCTCATTCAGGAGTACCATAGGCAGGAGAGCACACTCAATCTGCTCCTCCAAGGCACGTTTGGACAAGCATTAAGGGCTGACCATACCCGCAAGGTGGCCCGGAAGGTTGTGCTTGCATCAGGTACTATGTCATCCTACGCTGTGATGAACGAAAACTGGATGATCTTGTCCTGGGTGATGCTGCAGTCTGAAAGTGATAAATCGCTGCAGCCAATGTATGAGGGGCTGTCTCGTCGTTACATTTTTGCAGGACTGCCAAAAGCCAACTACCAGTGGGTTGACAGGTAAGAACCAGCCGTCACATTTTCCTTCCCACCTATACTATATTTGTAAAGTAAACAAAATATTGTATAGCAAATACATGTATCCTATGTATTTGAATGTTTATTATTTTAAATTTACTTCTCTTTGTGTGAGGAACAGAGATTGCTGTGCTGCCTTCAGGATCCCAAACCCTGAACCCCTGGAGCACCTCCTCTGGGATCCTTGGAAGACCACTGAGGCTATAGTGCTGCCTTACTTGTCTCACAGACAGACACCAAAGAAAGGTTTGGACTGCAGTATGTGGAGCCTGGTTGTCGTCCTGTCCCCTTGGACTGGGACAAGCACAAGTCCCAGAAGGTACCTGTTGCATGGGAGGGAGAGCATCAGTCCTCATAACCGTCTGCTCTCAGTGAGAGATTCCCACCTCATGACCCACCTGAGGAGCTGAGGGGGGAACACTTTGCTCAGGTAAACTTGACTGTTGTACTTACAAATATCCTCACACTCACTAAACCACAAAATGTACACTACCGGTCAAACGTTTTTGGACGGAAAGGTTTTTTCAAATGTTTTTAAAAGAAGTCTCTTCTGCTCACCAAGGCTTCATTTATTCACAGCAAAAACAGTAATATTGTGAAATATTTTTACAATTTAAAATAACTGTTTTCTATTTGAATACATTTTAAAATGCAATTAATTCCTGTGATGGCAAAGCTGAATTTTCAGCATCATTACTCCAGTCTTCAGTGTCACATGATCTTCAGAAATCATTCTAATATGCTGATTTGCTGCTCAAGAAATTTCTGATTATTATCAATGTTGAAAACAGTTTTTTTTTTTTTAATTCAGGATTATTTGATGAATATAAAGTTCAAAAGACCAGCATTTATCTGAAATAGAAAGCTTTTGTAACATTATCACTACCGTTCAAAAGTTTGGGGTCAGTAAGAATTTTTTATTTATTTATTTTTTGAAAGAAATTAATACTTTTATTCAGCAAGTATGCATTAAAGTGATCAAAAGTGACAGTATAGACATTTATAATGTTGCAAATCTTTATATTTCAGATAAATGCTGTTTTTTTTAACTTTCTATTCATCAAATAATCCTTAAAAATTTTGTACACAACTGTTTTCAACATTGATAATAATGAGAAATGTTTCTTGAGCAGCAAATCAGCATATTGGAATGATTTCTGAAGATCATGTGACACTGAAGACTGGAGTAATGATGCTGAAAATTCAGCTTTGATCACCAAAATAAATTGTGTTTTAAAATGTATTCAAATAGAAAACAGTTATTTTAAATTGTAAAAATGTTATATTTATATATTTATATTTTTGCTGTATTTTGGATCAAATAAAAGAAGCCTTGGTGAGCAGAAGAGACTTATTTTAAAAACATTAAACTTTTGACCGGTAGTGTAACTATGTAATCACTGATTGTAACCCAAATGAATTACCCTATGGTGCACGATGACATCTTTGGTGTATCTTCTCTTGGCTCACAAACAATGATCCAGCCTGGGCAGCCCACCAAAGTAAAAGGTAATTCAGTTCACATCTTCATCCCTTAATTATTCCTTATTTATATGAATACTACAGATATTTCAGAGATAAAAGTGAAAATGTATTATTTTCTGGCCTTTTTCCTCTCCTTTAGATGAGATGACACCACCACTGCCTTTTGCTTTTGCTCCCTCTCCACGAGCTGCTCGCACAGGTCCCATCAAGGCAGGCGGGCTACTTTTTGTCCTGGACCATTTTCGGTGGACACAGCCCATGAGGGATTCCATTGATGGCCTTCTGGCAAAGTACCATGGGCAGAAAGACCTTCTCACCCAGGTGGATGCGGAGTATGCTGCCCTTGTGCAGGCTGCCTCCAGGGATCCCAATAGCCTCTTACACCCCACCACGAAACAGCATATCTCACGTTATGTGAAACACCTGGCCAAGATGACGAACACAAGTTCATCCCTGAACACCAGTTCAGAGAAACTCCTGGAGACCCAGCAGCTGTGGCATCACCTCACAGAAGGTAGTGAAACTGTAAGTGTTCCAGTGGTAACCCTCCCACCTGCCCCAGTGAACCCACCCAGTAATAAGCCCCAGGAGTTTCCGCTAACTAAAAAATATAACTCTGTATCTTGTTTGTTATGGATGAATGTCACATGCTGAAACCACTGTGGCATGTTCCTGCCTTATTTGTCTTTTTTTTTTTTTGTACTTTAGAATGCCATGTTGACTCCATGCAGGATTGTAAAATGTAAAAAGTCTGCTTAACTTTTACTGTTATATATGCATCATTTTTTATTTCAATTTGTTCATTAAAATACCAGAAGTATTGGCTTTGTTTACGTTGTTTTAGTGTGTTTTATAAGTTAATTTTATTGACTTGCTTTGTTATTTTACCTTGCTCAGATTTGTAAACACTAAATGTTAATAACTGTTACTATTAAACATACATAATTGTACATAATCATTTAATTTAAAACAAAATGTTCTTGTTTTTCCTGTTCTCCACAACTTTAGAATTTATTATTATTGTTGTTGTTTAATCTATAATTATTTAATGTATATTTATTTAATTATTATATATTTGGTTAGTAATGTTTGTGTTTTATATAATATGTATATTATTGTTCGATAAATAAAATGATAAACTTTTTTTTTGGTGTTTATTGGTTAAATTTCATATGGGTTTTCTGCTCTCAGAGGTGTGGATTCAGATGGCAATTAAATTACCACACAACTATGGCGTTTGTCAAAATACAGTATATAATTGGGACATGAATTTTTATGTGGATGGTGGGAGAAAAACATTGAAATTCAGTGTTCGGACAGCAATAAAATCACAGACTAGCCCCTGCTAATGTTGAAAATACAATACATACCCATTAGAAACAGTTACCATCTGAATAGGGCTAAAGAATAAAAGAAGGCCTAAAAATATGATCAAAATGTTCTTTTCAATTATTCACATTCAAATATTTTCTATATTAAAGATAACTATACCCTATTATAATGTAAATGTTATTAAGATCGTTGCAGATTTTGTACATCCTACACAAGAACCATTATTACACGTTTTATTTTATCTTTGTGCACAAAGTTCATTTATTATATGTTAATCGTTCTAAAAGTTTTTCTTGATGAAAAACGATTACAAATTCCTTTCGTGGTATTTGTGGCCGAGGCGGGATTCGGACCTATAATTGTGTGTTGTTTATTCGGCCCGCCTCCCTGGAATTTCCTTCATTCCTATTGGCTAGTCACAGTTCTACAGGTATACACGGCTGGCCGCCACGTGTTACGCCTGTTTCACACATACTCCGTCTGCGACCGCACACGCACTGCAGACGGAGTATGTGTGAAACAGGCGTTAGGCGAACGTGACAACCACTACACAACGGAAACAGCTGCTGCCATCATTATCACTGCCAGGGGGTCTGTGGGAGAACTGCAGGCGGTTTGTGAGTTCATGAAACTAAATCAAAATAAAACACTTATATAAACTTTTTATTTTTCTGTAGTGTAGTGGTTATCACGGTTGCCTAACACCTGAAAAGTCCCTGATTCTAGACTGGGTGGAAACAAAGATTTTAGAATTGCTTCTTTGGGTGGGAAGTCTGCACTAGATAAGTGTCTCTCTTTTCTCTTACTGAATCAGTTTGGGTAGATGGAGACCCCTTCTTCAGGGCAAAGTAGAGTCATTGTTTATGTAGTGTAGTGGTTATAATGTGCCGGCATTTTTCTTCTTTGTTCTGTACTGGTCATCATTCTGGACCCTGAAACCCTGTCAAACCAACTCCTCCCTTTTTTCTTTCATTTTTTTCCCAAAAAGTTACATGTTGTATTTGCCTCGTTTCAACCTGGGACTTAACAGGTTTTTAAATGAGAATCTCACTAAAAATAGCCGATCAGACAGGGTTTCAGGATCCAAAACGATGACCAGCACACAAAACAGAAGGGAAAGGACAGTTCACAGCTTTTGCCAGCACATGTGTCTTTATAGAAATCTTTGTCTGGCCCGATTGCCTTTTGCTAAGATATCAAGTGATTTTGAAAAGTGTGTTTTGTTTCCCGCTGTTTTTGAAGGACCTTTCATGTATAAAGCAAATGTGATAACCACTTGCACTACATAAATCCAACTACTAATTTGCCCTTGAAGAATTAAAGCAAATTTACTTCAAATAAATAATTTTAGGTCAGATATTGAAAATGAGTTTGAGGTTAAAATATCTTATGGCTACGTTTTTCTTGAAACATCTAGTATAACTTTAAGTATCCTCATCTGTCAAAAGTCCAGAAGAAAAGGCAAATCTCCAAGCACGAGTCTTTTATTTCACAAAGGGTGTATGTCTGTGGCCGAACAATGCAGATAATTCTTGTTTTGCTAAATTATTCTCACATTGTTAAAGTACCACACCAAAGTATGGGAAGGTGGGCTCCGTTTTGCTTCCCTCCTCAAAAAGCCAGCACGTCTTCCAGCACCAGAAGTGATTTTTGGCCACCAGTAGAGCTACAGAACCCTAATAGGTTGAGGTTCTATCTAACACCCTGTTCCTTTGATAGAACAGCTGGTAGGGCGGAGGGCTGTAGGTAGGAGTGTTGGCAATCCTTAGGTTGTTGGTTTGACTCCTGCTCGAATGAGGTCTTTTTTCAAGTGACCACCTTTTTTTTTTTTTTTAGACTGGGTTTCTCGCAGCTGCAAGCAGAGCTTCACCTCACAGTCCACCGTTGGAAGGCAAAAGAGCACTCCCTGTCTGGGAATCAAACCCGGGCCGCAACGGTGAGAGCGCCAAAACCTAACCACTAGACCACCAGGGAAGGGCTGGCTAGCTGCACTCCTGATAACAGCATGAGAATAAGCAGATTCAGCATGAGAATAAGAGATTCAAACAACAGATCCCTTGAATGCATGCAACATGATATAATTCAGTAAATGATCCCTTCGGAGTAGTGTTGTCAAAAGACCCGGTATTTCGGTACCAAGTCGGTACTAATTATAAAAGCTGAGGTTTGTTATTTACTGAAAAGTTATATTTTAGCTGGTGTCAATGATCTTATGTTGCATTTGGTCAGACTCAGCCCATTGCTTTACTTAAGTATATTATATTTTCCTTTTACAGCTGCAGACTGAGGAAGATCCTGAAACACACCAGCAAACCCTAAAACAAACAACAGTTTACAGATGTTTTTTAGTGGCAGCAGAACTATGACTAAACTTTTGGGTGAAACTTGTTTACTTTTTTCATACTTTTATTACTTGTGGAAAAACCTGAAACAATTTTAAATAAGTATAAAGAATGGCATTTGTTTTGTACATTTAATTTTTGTTTAACGTTATTAATAAAAATGTTGTTCAATTAGCATGTTTTTGTGTTTTGCTTTGGTACCGAAATTGGTACCAAGAACCGTGGATTTTCACTGGTATTGGTACCGAATACTGAAATTTTGGTACCGTGACAACACTACTTCAGATAATTCTTGTTTTGGTAAATTATTCTCACATTGTTAAAGTACCACACCAAAAGCCATAGGCCGCTACAAAACCCTGCCCCCACACTGGCCACACGTATGGAAAGTGGCCCAGAAGTCTGTGGCCAGTTCAAGGCAGTCCCCATATGGTCTAGCGGTTCGGATTCCTCGTTTTCACTCAGATGGCCCAGGTTCGACTCCCGGAATGGGAAGGTGGGTTCCTTTTTGCTTCCCTCCTCAAAAAGCCAGCACGTCTTTCTGCACCAGAAGTGATTTTTGGCCAGCAGTAGAGCTACAGAACCCAAATAGGTTGAGGTTCTATCTAATACCCTCTGCCTTCAATAGCTCAGCTGGTAGAGTGGAGGACTGTAGGTAGGAGTGTTAGCAATCCTTAAGTTGCTGGTTTGACTCCGGCTCGAAGGATGTCTATTTTCAAGCGCCCGCCTTTTTTGTTTTTTGTTTTGTTTGGATGGGTTTCTCGCAGCAGCAAGCAGAGCTTCACTTCACAGTCCACTGTTGGAAGGCAAAAGAGCATTCCCTAACTGGGAATCGAACCCGGGCCGTGGCGGTGAGAGCACCAAATCCTAACCAGTAGACCACCAGGGAAGGGCTGGTGGTTTGCACGCCTGATAACAGTGTGAGAATAAGCAGACAGCAATTCTAGTCTCTGTCACGTCGAAAACCAACAAGTCTGGTGTTCGCGAGAGACGCTTCTGTCTCTGTCTGTCTTCTGTCTGTTGGTGGGCCATTGACGCAATGGATAACGCGTCTGACTATAGATCAGAAGATTCTAAGTTCGACTCCTGGCTAGCTGGCTTTGTGTTTAATTTTCTAAGGCTGTTTTTGTAGTTGTTTTTTTTTTTCGAAAAGTCCAGAAGAAAAGGCAAATCTCCAAGCACGCGTCTTTTATTCCACAAAAGGCGTATGTTGCACACCCGTTCTAATGTCTACGAGAGATGCTCTCATGCTTCGTGATTGCCATTCGTCCCACAAGCACTCCGACAAGCTCGGCGATTAACGTGGAAATAAACTCCAGACTGGCAGTCATTTGATTCTTCTTCTGGACTTTTAGAGAAAAAATAATAATTTTTGGCCAAGAATCTTCTGATCCATAGTCAGACACATTATCCATTGTGCCACTGACCCACCGACAAAAGTGTCTCTCGATTGCACCAGACATTTTGGTTTTCGACGTGACAGAGGTCAGAATTGCTGTCTGCTTATTCTCATGCTGTTATCAGGAGCGCAGCCTACCAGCCCTTCCCTGGTGGTCTAGTAGTTAGGTTTCTGTGCTCTCACCGCTGCGTCCCGGGTTCTATTCCCGGTGGGCTGTGGACTGTGAAGTGAAGCTCTGCCTGCAGCTGTGAGAAACCCAGCCAAACAAAAAAAAAAAAAAAAAAAAGAAGGTGGGCAGCTGAAAATAGACCTCCTTCGAGCCATAGTCAAACCAGCGACCTAAGGATTGCCAACACTCCTACCTACAGTTGTCCGCTCTTTTTTATTTTTTTATTTTTTTATTCAAGCAATAAAATACAATCAAATATAGAGTTTCATGAACAATCTTTCATACATCATATTCTGTCTGTTGAAAGCTTGCATACACATCTTTAGAAAATCTTATTCAGTCCCCGGCGACTTTCACATTTAGATCTTTTAAAGCACAACACACTTTTGAAGTGAAAACATCATAAAAAGCTTTCAGCATATTTTCATCTTTAAAATACACATATAGGTTTTCTACATATTGTTCTGTTTTTCTTTTAAATACAGTCCACACATCTAACACAATTTTTTTCTTTCTTAGCCACAATTCTTCTCTCCCATAT